TATTACATGACAAGTGATTCCAAAGTTTTAACCGGTAGTTAGGTAGCATGTTTATAACCACTTCATGTAATACCTTACTGTAAAAGAGCTTTTAGAGGCATTATACCCTTCAAATGTCTGGTTCCTGTCACCACCACCATGAACAATTTGGACTCATTAAGTTTCTGTAGAACCACTCCAAATGACTTTGTTTACAATCTTAAGCATTTAATTCTGAAAAATTTGAAAAGAATAATGAATCCCCCTTAAAGACCTAAATACTATTCTGAGGCCTTCAAAGCCAACTCTTTCATGTTACAATCACACATCGTGGAATTGTAAAAAATACTGAAACTCTTTTCTGTAGATGTGCCTACTAGGCTTTCCTGCCTACACAACATATCTGTAGCACATTTACTAAGCCTCTCTTTATCTTATTTATATAAAAGGCCTTCTCCTGAAGTAAAAAAATGACAAAATTAGATGAGTTTTTAAGCATACATGCATAGACTGTTTTATTGTTTGCAGGTGCTCAAGTCTGGACACTGCGAGAGACAGAGAGCAGCATAGCTTGGAGCTTTAGATCTAGCAGTGTCCAGCATTCACTTAAAGAATTAGTAGTTAGCAGGCCGCTAACCCCCTCACGTCTCACGCCTTTCACTCTTATTTTGTTTTCTCCCTCTCTCTTTCTCTATCTCTCTCACAGATATCCAGCCCATCCACCATGGCGTCTGCCCAAGAACGAGCTCTCCAGACCCTGACCCTCTCCAGGTCCTGAAGGAGCACTACCAGACGCTACTGAACACCGCCAGGAAGAAGACGGTCAGAAGTCATCTCCGGACCACTTCCCACATACAGGAGGGGATCCGAGCGCTTCAGCAGGCTCTTCGCGCTGCAGTCCTGGTTCTGCGGCTGGTGCGCCCTCAACGGCTTGGGCTACGTGGACAACTGGGCCTCTACCGGAGGGATGGCCACCACCCTAGTCGTCTGAGATCTGTTGTTCTCTCAAGGAACATCGAGAGGGCCATCCGCTGACTTCAGAGTGAAGGCCACGTAAGTAGCACCAAAAATAGAAACGCTACAGCTAATAATGCTAGTGTTACTGCTGAATAAGGCGATTGCTAGCATTTATACTGTAAATAGGGCAAGTGCTAATACAAATACTTATTCTATAAATACAAATGCTTATACCGCAAACTGCCTTGAGATGCCACATTGGTTCCTCCCGATAGAGACTGTGTCTGTTCCCCGAATAAAACAAAGCGTCAAAGAGCCTCAAAATGTTTTCTATAGTAACTTGATTTATATCAGACCAGTTATACCAATTTGTGACAGCACCTTTGGTCTAAAACTAGGACTGCTTAACATAAGATCCCTTACTCCTAAAGCCGTCGTTGTAAATGAAATTATTAGCGATCACGCTTTTGATGCTCTGTGCCTCACAGAAATGTGGATTAGACCCGATGAATACTTCAGTCTAAACAAAGCCACACCCCCAGGCTACAATTATGCACATAGCCCTCGTTTAAGCGGCAGAGGTGGAGGTATAGCAACCATCCATACTAAAGCCTTAGGCGTGAGCCAGAAAGTAGGCTATAAAATCTCTTCTTTTGAAGTTCTCTTACTAAATATACATGATCAAGGAACAAATCAAAATTCCTTTTCACTAATTACAATTTACAGGCCGCCAGGACCGTATTCTCAGTTCTTACAGGAATTCTCCAGTTTCTATCAAGTCTAATAATGCTTTCAAATAAAATAATAGTTGTCGGAAATTTTAATATCCACATAGGTTTCACCCAAATAATAAAGGGGCCCACACACTACCACAACCACACTCTAGACTTAATACTGACCTTTGGTGTAGACATAGATAACTTAGCCATTCTCCCCCAGAGCACAGCAGTCTCAGATCATTACTTAATCTCATACGAAATTCACTTTAGTGGTAATATGCATTCATCACCATGTTATCATGTTAAGCGGACAATAACTTCCTCCACAGCTGGTAGCTTTATTAGAAACCTTCCACAATTATCAGCTTCTGTCAGCTGTCCATCTGATCCTACCGAGTTAGATATTATGACCAAGCTCTTAGAGGATAATTTTCGATCTACACTAGATAGTGTGGCCCCATTAAAAAGTAAAATAGTAAGGCAGAAAAAACTCGCCCCCTGGCATAATGATCATACTCGGGCTTTAAAACAGACTGCCAGACAACTAGAGCGAAAATGGAGCCTGACTAAGCTAGAGGTGTTCCAGTCTGCCTGGAAGGAGACCCTTATAGACTATAGAAGAGCACATACTACAGCACGCTCAGCCTACCTCTCCTCTCTCATAGAAAACAATAAAAATAATCCTAGATTACTTTTCAGCACAATCTCTAAAATAACAGGGAACAAAACAGTTATTGAACCCCAGATACCATTAGCCTATAGCTAATAGCTTTAGTGATAAAATTGAAAACATTAGGCAGAAAATTCAAAATGCACAGTTAAAATCTACAAACCTGCTTCCCCATAATGCCAGCCTCAATCTTGAGAATATTATGATCCCTGCAGAGAGGCTGGAATCATCTACCTTACTTCAAGAAAATGATATAGTTAAAATCGTTTCTTCCGCAAAATCATCTACTTGTATGTTAGATCCGATTCCTACAGGTTTACTCAAGGAAATTTTGCCAGAAATAACCAAGCCTATTCTCTCAATAATAAACTCCTCTCTTAGCCTTGGATACATCCCAAAATCTCTTAAACTAGCAGTAATTAGACCACTAATTAAGAAAGCTCACCTCGATCCCTGCGAACTATCAGATTATAGACCCATCTTGAAACTCCCCTTTATATCTAAGATCTTGGAAAAAGTTGTAGCAAAACAATTAAGCTCCTGTTTGCATAGGAATCAAATACACAAAAAAATTCAACCTGGTTTTAGGCCACATCATAGCACAGAGACAGCACTAGTAAAAATTGTAAATGATCTATTATTATTCTCTGACCAAGATAAAGTGTCTCTGTTAGTCCTCCTCGATCTTAGTGCGGCATTTGACACAACAGACCACGCTATCTTATGAGATAGACTAGAAAACCTTGTAGGGGCTCGGATAAAACAGAGGTTCTACTTCTTGGTCCAAAAGCAGCTAGAAACAAACTGTCTAATTTTACACTTAAACTTGCATCAAGCTCACCTGTAAAAAATCTTGGTGTCATGATAGACCTAGATCTGTCCTTCGACACACATATAACTAATATTACTAGAACAGCCTTCCTGCATCTCCGCAATATTGCTAAATTGAGAAATGCATTATCTCCACAGGATGCAGAAAAGCTAGTTCATGCATTTATTACTTCAAGGCTAGATTACTGTAATGCCCTGCTGGCTGGATGTCCGAGCAAAAGCCTTAACAAGCTTCAGCTAGTCCAGAATGCTGCAGCCAGAGTTCTTACTAGAACCAGAAAATTTGACCATATCAGCCCAGTTCTATCAAACCTACACTGGTTGCCAGTTAAATTTCACATTGATAAAATTCTCTTACTGACTTATAAAGCTGTAAACGGACTCGCCCCTCAGTACCTGAGTGAACTTCTCTCCCTTTATGAACCATCACGCCTACTTAGATCACAAGGTGCTGGCTTACTATTAGTACCTAGAATTAATAAAGTTACGTCAGGGGGCAGAGCCTTCTCATACAAAGCCCCCCAGCTTTGGAATAGTGTTCCTGTTAATGTTCGGGACTCAGACACAGCCTCAGTCTTTAAGTCTAGCTAAAAACTTACTTGTATAGTCAAGCCTTTGGGAATTAGTTTTCCCTGTTGGTTCTATACCTGCCAGAGTCTCTGCTGCTCTGCTAACACTTAAATCTGTGATCAGTCACCCATTACAGAACTGACTCTCTGTGTGTTTTTCCTTTCTTTCTTTTCTTCGCTGAGTTGAACAGCTGCCCAACCTGTGCATCTGATGCTGCTGCCTCTTCTGCCTTGATTGGGTGCCACTGCTGCCAGCCCTCTGGACCAGCTTGACCACCACTGAGCTTCATGCTGTACAACGCCGTGCAACCTCACCTTCACATCCTGACCCCACTGATGCTGCTGCTGCATAAACTAAACTAATCAAATGAATCATTTGCTCCACCTGTTTTCCCCGTTTTTGTACTAACAATGTTTACTATCTGGTGTCGACCAGAGGAGGATGGGTTCCCCTTCTGAGTCTTGGTTCCTCTCAAGGTTTCTTCCTGTCTCTTAGGGAGTTTTTCCTTGCCACTGTCGCCACTGGCTTGCTCATGGGGGTTTGGACCCGGATTTCTTTTTGTAAAGCTGCTTTGTGACAACACCTGTTGTAAAAAGCACTATATAAATAAACTTTGCTTTGCTGGTCCTCACTTGAACATGTGTTTTCACCACCAATTATTATCATCTTTTTTTTTTTTTGGAAAAACTAAAAGAGCAGAAAAACTGCCTTCTGGATACTGAGGTTAAGATTAGGTTTAGGTGTAGAATTGGATACAGTAATACAAAAATCAATAGAAACCTATGGACATCCTCACAAGTACAGCAAGACAAACGTGTGTATGTGTAATTTATATAGTTTAAGGTTTGTATGCGTGGTTTAGACAATAATACCATAGTCATTTTCGTGTACTTATAACAATTTATTCAAACCATAACATTTGAATATCTAAAGTTCTGTTAATTAACCAATAAAACCAACCAATAGTAAAAGGTAGAAACACAGTCGGTTACAAGTTATTTGTCAAGTCCAGACCAAGTTTGCTGGTCCAGATTTTGGCCGATGTTCAAAAAAATGACACTGACCCAAGTCTGGCTGCCAGTTGTAGCCCGACTTAAGTAAGAGGCAAAGAACGAATTATCCCTAGCTCCACGCCAGCACGGGATTTTTTTTCGTCCTAAATATTTTTGGAATTGGGTTTGTAAACACAGCTTATTCTGTACTGTTACTCCATTTCTTTGCATATCTAAACAGACAACGCTTAACATTTATAGATGATATGAAAACAGGCCCACCTCTGATGATGGTCATAACGCTGCCGATTTGGGTCATACACTCCGCCAACGTCAACCACAACTTCACACTGGGCCAGCTCTGCAGGCTCACGTGTCCGCATTATTTTAGCATCCTAATGAATCAACATTAAATATTAATAGAGAATTTCCCAACTTTTTCAAGGGTTCTGCAACAAAGCTCTCTGAAAGATGGGTACTGTTACATCTTAACGAGTAATTATGAAGAAGTTCCCATATTTTAATGTGTCGTTAACCGGCTAGCTTAGCAACACCGACATAACAGCTATTGTCTTAATTATCTTAATAGTTCATTAAAAATAGTTCACTTGTAACCTTGTACTCCGGGAGCTGCCGTAGAAAGTAACACGCCAAAACTTCATCACAGTGAAAAGTCCCGTTGTGTGTGCCAATTTTAACAGAAGACATTTCCTGCAAACAAGGTCTCTTGGCTGAGTGCATGTATTGTCTGCGTGTTATGAAGAGGTGCGATCCCTCTGAAGCTATCGGATAATAGGGCGTTCCACGTGCAATCTGATAAAAATACGGCTCAACAAATCGACAGGACTTAAACGACTGTATGCGTCTCATCAGGCACACAACACACCATGCACAGTACAAACGGGCAGACTTCTTCTAGTACTACAGATGAGTTGAGAGCGTCGCTTAAATACTGCCACCTACAGTTAAGTTTTTCTATTAGTTTTTTGTAACTTTTAACAGGACAATAACACCATTCAATGAAAGATGGGAAGTATGAAGAAAAGGAGTATAAAAGGAGGATACATAGAAAAGGAAAAATTTACAAATAAAAAAAAAAATCCGAATTTAATTTATTGATTTGGGATGTTTCATGGCCTTTTTTTGTTGAAGATGTATTTGTAAATCTACTTGAAAAGATTTGCGATTGGGTTTGGATTTGAAACATCTTGCCTTGTGAATTGAAATATAGCCAGCTTACAAATGTATCATATCTGACTCCTTATTGCCACTATTTCAATTATTGGCAATATGTAACTTTTGGATTAATCAAAAAGCCAATTATAAACAAAAATAAGCAAAAAAGTTTAAAATCTGTTAAAAATCTAAAATGTGTGTTTTTGTGTATGTAGAAAAAAAACTTTGAAATTCTCCATTCTAATTTATCTTACCTTAATTGTCTGTACGGTATATTTCCTATTTATCAGCTTATAACTTAACTGAATTGAATCTGTTCTCATAGTAGACCATTTTATCATTTAAAAATGTGAACTATGTAGATAGATATGTTAATAAAAGACATAAACTGAGAAATAAAACTACAGATATGTGGTTCCAAAAACCTTTAGAAATGGACAGAAACAAAACAGAACATCTTTACCTTAACAAAAAGGGCATGGGGACATTTCTTGTAAATCTACTTATATAGCTGTAACATAATTAATAATGATTAATAATAAAAACAACAGTAATACACTTCACAGAGCATCACAGAAATAAAACATGAAATTACAAGCAGAGGGTGCAAAAAATAATAAAATCAGATCAAAGATAAAAGAAGGAAGACATAAACGTATGTTAAAAAATGATAGATAAAGTAGAGCTAAGATGAAAAATTGTCTGCGTGTTATGAAGAGGTGCGATCCCTCTGAAGCTATCGGATAATAGGGCGTTCCACGTGCAATCTGATAAAAATACGGCTCAACAAATCGACAGGACTTAAACGACTGTATGCGTCTCATCAGGCACACAACACACCATGCACAGTACAAACGGGCAGACTTCTTCTAGTACTACAGATGAGTTGAGAGCGTCGCTTAAATACTGCCACCTACAGTTAAGTTTTTCTATTAGTTTTTTGTAACTTTTAACAGGACAATAACACCATTCAATGAAAGATGGGAAGTATGAAGAAAAGGAGTATAAAAGGAGGATACATAGAAAAGGAAAAATTTACAAATAAAAAAAAAAATCCGAATTTAATTTATTGATTTGGGATGTTTCATGGCCTTTTTTTGTTGAAGATGTATTTGTAAATCTACTTGAAAAGATTTGCGATTGGGTTTGGATTTGAAACATCTTGCCTTGTGAATTGAAATATAGCCAGCTTACAAATGTATCATATCTGACTCCTTATTGCCACTATTTCAATTATTGGCAATATGTAACTTTTGGATTAATCAAAAAGCCAATTATAAACAAAAATAAGCAAAAAAGTTTAAAATCTGTTAAAAATCTAAAATGTGTGTTTTTGTGTATGTAGAAAAAAAACTTTGAAATTCTCCATTCTAATTTATCTTACCTTAATTGTCTGTACGGTATATTTCCTATTTATCAGCTTATAACTTAACTGAATTGAATCTGTTCTCATAGTAGACCATTTTATCATTTAAAAATGTGAACTATGTAGATAGATATGTTAATAAAAGACATAAACTGAGAAATAAAACTACAGATATGTGGTTCCAAAAACCTTTAGAAATGGACAGAAACAAAACAGAACATCTTTACCTTAACAAAAAGGGCATGGGGACATTTCTTGTAAATCTACTTATATAGCTGTAACATAATTAATAATGATTAATAATAAAAACAACAGTAATACACTTCACAGAGCATCACAGAAATAAAACATGAAATTACAAGCAGAGGGTGCAAAAAATAATAAAATCAGATCAAAGATAAAAGAAGGAAGACATAAACGTATGTTAAAAAATGATAGATAAAGTAGAGCTAAGATGAAAAATAAATAGGAATTATTAAAAGTAAATTAAAAACTAACTCAAATAAACATTCAAAAACAACAACTAATAAAACACAATAAAATAAGTGTTTCATTAGCTAACTATAAGCCAGAATAAAAATGAATGTCTTATGTTTGTGTTTAAAAAAAAATGTATAGCAGTGGCAGATTACAGGTCATCAGGCAATGTATTCCACAAAGCAGGATCATAATGGTTAAAAGCACATTCACCTATTCTGGATCTGTTTCTGGTCTGAGAGATCAGTGCCTGATGACCTGAGAGCTCTCATAATGGTCATAAATTATAATAAATGACATAATTTAATGCACTTAAATGAATGGTAATAACAAATAACAATGCAGTTTATTTTATGAATCAAAAATTTGCTGTCATGTGAAGAGGTAAGTATACCCCATGAAAATTTTAGACTTTTTCAACACATTTGGAGATACAGATATCACACCTTCATTTAAACAGTGTTAATAAAGTTTTTCTGTAAAGCTGCTTTGTGACAACACCTGTTGTAAAAAGTGCTGTATAAATAAACTTTGACTTGACTTGACTTAATATAATGTAAAAAGTGATGCTTATTAACATTTTTGTCATCCTTCATATAACTGAAGTGAAAAGTAATTAGAAATTTTCTTATGTGGAAAAAGTAAGTGCACCCATACATATATCACTACTTCAAACATGTCAAATTGAAATCAGGTGCACCTGATCAAGTGCTAATAATTCGAACACCATTAGAGAATATCTTGTGGGAATAAAAAACCTCAGATATCTGGTCTGGTTTGCTTTTTGTTATTGGGGTATGTGGTATCATCATGCCTAGATCAAAAGAGCTCTCTGAGGCCTTCATAGTCTGGAAAGGGGTCTAAGAAAATATCCAAAATATTGGAATTAATTTATTCCACTGATCGGACAATCATCTACAAGTGGAGAGATTTAAAACCACTGCCAACTTGTCCAGGCCAAGGGTGCCCCAGCAAATTTAACACAAAAGCAGACTGTAAGATACTAAAAGAAGCCTTTAAGAACCCCAAAGTTTCATTACAAGAACTGCAAGTAGCTCCTGACACTGCTGAGGTAAAAGTGCATGCATCATTAGAAAAAGACTGCACAAATTTTCCCTAAATGGGAAGTGTGCCAGAAGGAAACCTTAGCTGTCAAAAAAAAAACTTTGAGACAAGACTAAAGTTTGCTAATTAATATATAGGCAAGAACCAAGACTTCTGCTATGGACAGACAATCAATGACAGATATTTGGCCATAGTACCAGAAGCCATGTTTGGTGAAAACCAAAGACAGAATTTGATCAGAAGAACCCAATACCAACTGTAAAGTATGGTGGTGGATTGTTTTGGTTTGGGGCTGCCTAGCTGCCTCAGAGCCTGGACAACTTGCAATCATAGATTTGACTATGAATTCTCTTTCATATCAGACACTGCTTGAGGAGAATGTGAGACCATCTGGAAAGAAAAGTTGGAACTGAGGAAGTGGACCTTCCAGCAGGATAATGATCCCACACATACAAGTAAAGGAAGAAATAGAGAGTTATGTAATGGCCTTGGCTAACATTGCACAGTGGAAAGGATTCTGAATGGAGGAATGGACAGAAATGTCTCCCAGTAAGTGTCAGAAACTAGTGGACAGCTATTGCAAAGTCAAATTTACATAGTTTTTTGTTCTATTACATGTTTATCTATTTATACATATTGTTTAACTGAAGATCAAATACTCCACATATGTCAAAAAACAGAAACATTTTGGGGTGTGCTTACTTCTTCACATGACTGTATGCGGTAATAATTACATCTCTTATGGTTCAAAAGAGGGCCATATAGACCATGTAGGCCTTAAAGCTTACAGCAAATGTATGCAAAAGTTTGGGCCTTGTTTAAATGACATTGTTGCTTTTGTAAGTGAAAATAAATGAATTAATTTTACATGTTCTACAGGGAACACACTTTACTTTTTAACACAAGTATTACATATCAATGGTGGAGTAAAGTTGTGGAGCTTTGAAGCCTGAGCCCCTGGTGTTTCAGATCTACTGTGCAGAAATTACAATAAAAACCTGCTCAATATGCAATAAATGTAGCTAGCAAAATGTGACATTCCCTGAGGTAAGAAATAATTAACTTTAGGACTGTTACTAACAGAGCTCGCCTAATTTCCATTATATATCCATTATTTTTTATCAATTCAATGTCAAAAAATCTTTTTTGTAAGAACATCTGTGCAAATCTGTGTATTACTATACTAAATAAGCGTTAAGTTAGTTCTATATTTTATTTTATTCTTGTGCAGAATATGGTCATATTGTTTAGCCATTGCAGTTGTATGAAAAGTTTCATTCCTGGCCAAATTACATATTATGTAGATTTATGAAGTGAAAATAAGTAAACACAACCATGCAGCAAAGTATTTTTACAAATATATTAAAAAAAATCAAAAATGGTAGTTACTTTGTATGTGTAACGTAAGAAGTAGAAATGCAAAAGTTGTAGCATGTGCAAAGGTTTGGACACCCTACTAAGTAAGTATTTAGTAAAGGCGGATTTAGTGATTCTGGGGCTCTAGGCAAAAGGCAGGAATAGGGCCCTCTGAATGTATATTTTTAAATTGAGTTCTGTGCTCGTGAGTGGACAACTGGCTACCTGGCAAAAAATGGTATCTCAGCAAGAGAAATCATCTTAAATGTAGTCAATGTACCTAATATTTCTCATTTTTAGAATACTGTAAGAATATTATAAGATTAATTTACTTTTTTCTAGACATTTTTTACTTAAGTAATTTTGCTTGTTTTAAGAAATAATGCAAACAAGCAAAACAAGCAAAATTATCTGCCAATATAGTGATGATTTGGTACAGAGTAATGTAGAATGAATAACGAGTAATGGA